ATTCTTTCACTGAAATGCTGGAAATGTCCTCAAGTTCACTTGAGCAATGCTGAGAAGTGTCATGTATCTGGAGTATTTTGTTAAATGTCTTTCAAAAACTGTGCATCTAATGAAATTTGGCATTTGACAAATATCTGGAGGAGAAAAAAAAGGTGGCCAAACATCTCCTGGACTATATTATACTATGCCTACAAATACAAAACATTTTCAAAGTCCTCTAAGTCACACAGCCATGGCATGCAGACACAAGAACATGATCCAGACCTGGTCAACTAACTTCTATAAGGGGCTATACAGTAAATATTTTAGGGTTTGTGTGCCATACGGTCTCAGCCACAACATGGGCATGAGTGTATTCCAATAAAACCTTATTTATGGACACTAATATCTGAATTTCACATGTCATGAAATATTTTTCTTCTTTTTTTTTTTTTTTTTTGAGACAGAGTCTCACTTTGTTGTCCAGGCTAGAGTGAGTGCCGTGGCGTCAGCCTAGCTCACAGCAACCTCAAACTCCTGGGCTCGAGCGATCCTTCTGCCTCAGCCTCCCGAGTAGCTGGGACTACAGGCATGAGCCACCATGCCCGGCTAATTTTTTTTATATATATATCAGTTGGCCAATTAATTTCTTTCTATTTATAGTAGAGACGGGGTCTCGCTCTTGCTCAGGCTGGTTTTGAACTCCTGACCTTGAGCAATCCGCCCGCCTCGGCCTCCCAAGAGCTAGGATTACAGGCGTGAGCCACCGCGCCCGGCCTATTTTTCTTCTTTTGAGTTTTTTCCAACCACTTAAAAACATAAAAACCAGTCCACACAAAAACAAGCAATAGTCCAGATTTGCCCCACAGGTCAGTTAGACAACCACTGATCTAGACAATTAAACCAGGCAGAGATATTTATTTAAACCATTTCACAAAATATTAGCCATTACTAGAGAAAGCTACAGTCAGGTGCAGGCAGAGGGCTTCATTTTATACACAGATGAAGTAATCTGAAGGCAGTTGCTACTGAAAATAATTCAAGAGGGGAGAAAAAGCCCAAACAAGGAAATTGAGTTTCTGACACCATAGTTAAAAAGCAATCAGTAAGCCCTCCAGGGAAAAAATCCAGAGTTCTAAAGAGTTGTTCTATAGTCCATGGAGTTCTCAAAGTAAGAAACTAATTTTACAAGACTTTATACAGGAAGAAAGAAAGCAACAATTTAACAATCAAGCCAAGGGAAAGAATGGCAATGAGATGATTATAATCAGAGCAGAGGGAACTGCAAGCTTCAAACAGGCTATAGATCTAGGGACAGGGTCATAAAATGATGACCTCTGAAACTGAAGCTAAGTATGATCAAATAATGAAATTAGCCATATGTAAAAGTTACCTACCAAAAGAGGTGATTTGTAAGCCTATTGCTAATGAGAGGATGCCTCCAAAATCTCATCAGATACTAAAACAACAAATAACCTGAGATAAACTGAGCTCTAATGAATCATACCAATCTGTAGCAGTATCACAACAGAAGGATGGAGGTCTACATGGAGACTGGAGAAAGATAGCCAAAGATGTGTGTTTCTCTAAAGGAGTTTGACTCCACAGTTAAAGAGAAGGGGCACTCTGGCCTACTCTGTGGGCTCAACTTGCCTAGAGAAAAGATATGCACATGCACTTATTCTGCTGTGCTTCCTGTGCAGACTCTCCACTTACCTTTCCATTTCTGGAATAGAATGGCTTCCAAGACTTTCCTACTGAGTATGGATACTCTCGCCAGGCCACCCCCAGTATCTCTTATGCTTTGCAGCTATAGCTCTTCTTATAAATTAAGAAACTGGTATTTGAATGTATTATTAAGTCTCTAATCACCTTTGATATAAGCATGAATCATCTACAAAGACCTCTTTTCATAGCTATAGGTGAACTGACAAAAAGCATCATGCAATTCTCTCATGTACTTCCTGAAATTGGAAACTGAGGACCAGGCAAAGACCTCTTTTCATAGCTATGGGTGAACTGACAAAAAGCATCATGCAATTCTCCCATGTACTTCCTGAAATTAGAAACTGAGGACCAGTCAATAGACAATACTGAAAAGGGACACATAACCATATGAGGCCACCTTGCTCAGCTACCATTAACTGGTTTTTCTTTCTACTGTCCTTAAGGCAGAGGGTACGGTAGTCCAGAACACTGAGCTCCAGAGTCAGACTGCTTGGTTTGAACAAAACTTTGTTCCATCACTTCCTAACTAAGCTTTCTTAAACTTCCTGAGTTCAGTTTCTTCATCCTATAAAACAGAGATGAAGGAGGGATATATCTCCAAGAGTTACTGGGAGGATTAAAAGAGAGAATGCATTTGAGGTGCTTAGCACAATGTCTGGCACCTAGAAAGCACCCAACGAATAGTAGTTCTTTTTTGTTACTACCATTGTCATTATTTTTTATTATTAACTGTAACAACAGTGATACTCTTTTGCTGAATATACTGACTCCAGCAATATTCTAGTAATTGAACTTCAATCTTAGCAGTTTTCCTCTTTATTTGATGCTCTAAAGAACTTCTTAAGACACTGCATTAATTCTAATTCAAGACCCCAACCAACTTCTTCACAAGTTTGTTTGTTTATTGACTGACTGACTGAGATGGGGTCTATGTTGCCCAGGCTGGCCCTGAACTCCTGGGCTGAAGGGATCCTCCCACCTCAGCCTCCCAAGTAGCTGTAACTATATAGGCACATGCCACTCTGTTCAGCCAAATTCTTCAACCAAGGTACAGAACTGTTCCTCTTTCAACAGCTACTGTCTTGATCACAGAAGCACACCTACTCCATCTCGTTTCCAACCTCCAGCCAGCATCATAAGTCATGCCAATCATCTCAAATTTCCCTACCTCTCTTCCAATCTCTCTTATTAAAAAATAAGAGTTATTGGCTGGGCGCAGTGGCTCATGCCTATAATCTTAGCACTTTGGGAGGCTGAGGCAGGAAGACACTTGAAGCCAAGAATTCAAGACCAACGTGGGCAAAAGCAAGATCCCATCTCTACAAAAACTAAAAAAATTAGCCAGGCACAGTGGCATATGCCTGTAGTCCCAGCTACCTGGGAGGCTGAGGGAGGAGGATTGATTGAGCCCAGGAGTTTTGATTTGCAGTGAGCACGAAGATGCCACTATACTTACCCTGTCTCCAAAATTAAAAAAAGAGTTCTCCAACATTATGCATTATGGCATGTTTACCACCTACCAACTTGGAATAATATTCCCTTACGTACTATAGATATAATATATAAATAGACAAACAGCCATCAACAAAATACCAATTAAAACCAGTAGAATGGTTATAATTTAAAAATAAGAAAGAAAATTAGTAAGTGTTGGTAAGGATGTAGAGAAACTGGAAATCTTATACACTGCTGGTAAGAATATAAAAGGATATAGCCACTTTGGAAAACAGTCTGGCAATCCTCAAAGTTAAATAAAGTTAACATATGATCCAGCAACTGGTATATAGGTATATAGGTAAAAGACTTGAAAACACAGATCCACATAAAAACTTGTATGCAGGGCTGGGCGCAGTGGCTCACACCTGTAATCCTAGCACTCTGGGAGGCTGAGGCAGGAGGATCATTTGAGCTCAGGACTTTGAGACCAGCCTGAGCAAGAGCAAGATCCCGTCTCTACTAAAAAAAATAGAAAGAAATTAGCTGTACAACTAAAAATATATAGAAAAAATTAGCCAGGCAAGGTGGTGCATGTCTGTAGTCCCAGCTACTTGGGAGGATGAGGCAGGAGGAACACTTGAGCCCAAGAGTTTGAGGTTGCTGTGAGCTAGGCTAATGCCACGGCACTCTAGCCTGGGCAACAGAATGAGACTCTGTCTAAAAAAAAAAAAAAACAAAAACAACTTGTATGTAAATATTCACAGTAGGATTACTCATAATAGCCAAAAAGTAGAAACAATCTAAATGTCCTAAATGATTTAATAAAATGTGGGCTATCCATATAATAGAATATCAATTGGCAATAAAAAGGAATGAAGTACTGATACATGCTACAGCATGGATGAACCTTGAAAACATCATGCTAAGTGAAAGAAGCCAGTCATGAAAGACTACACATTATTAATGCATGATTCTACTTACACAAAATATCCAGAATAGGCAAATCCATAGAGACAGAAGGTAGATTGGTGGTTCCCAAAGAATGGGGGGAAACAGGAGATGTCTGTTAAATGGGTACGGGATTTCTTTTTGCAGTGATAAAAATGTTCATCAAATTGATAGTAATGATACATCTAGAACTCTAAATACACTAAAAGCCACTGAGTGTATACATTAAATAGGTGAATTATACGCCATGTAAACATCTCCACAAAGCTCTTATGTGATTAGATAAATAAATTTTTCCCAAATGAACAGGAACAAATGACTTGGAGAGGAATGCTGAGTTCTCTGGGGATAGCAGGAAGCATGGGAACAAAACTAGCCAGCAAACTCATGAAAACAAGCTTAAGTGTGCCCTCAAAACCTCAGATTACAAATCTTGTTTTAAAACCCAAACATCTGCTAGCTTTTCATATGACTCCAAAACATTTTAATTATCCTAGTTATAGACCATACAAACACATTATCCTACAAATGTACATTTAATTTTTATAGTCTGGGTGATCCCTATAACATAACTTGTATTATATAAGCTACAGAACTAGAAATATCTCTCAAATTTAATTCATTTATTTATTCAACAAACATTTATTATATGCCTACTGTGTACTAATCAATGTATTAGGGTCAGGAATGCAAAGATGGCTGAAATGCAAGCCCTGTTCTCAAGGAGCTCAGAACATTGTGAGCTAAGAGTTATAATGTGAGAGTTAGGAGAACATTGAGACTTGTGTGGCTGCAAATGAAATAAGCTCCCAATAAATGTGTTCCCATGAAGATGATGATACAAAAAATAATTACAGGATGGTGATCACTAACCCTACAGTGACCCATCCTCTCAAGGAGTGGCCTACCTGTTAACATGCTCCTCCCAGTCCTCTGGTGGGGGAGGGGCATCGGCATCTGTCCTGGCGAAGATGACATGTCTTTCACATTCATTCATCACGCTGCGTGCCTTCTGATTGTCATACAGCGGCACAGGGGTTGATGTGACCGTCTCCACATCAATTGGGACATCTGATTCACTGTAAACAGGTGAGGAAATAGGACCAGGCCACACATACTTCACACAACACAGGTGTTTAATAATCATCTGGTTGCAAAACATGTCTCTTTAATATACTCAGCTTTAAATTATGCACAAGCACATTATATTCACAAGAAGATTCTGATACAATGTCATCTTTCCTACACTTGTCTAGATCTCTGCCCTCTCTGACATACTGGTAGGTGCATAATACCTACTAACATAAAGTCATTTTAAAATGAGTCTACACAAAAAATGATAAACAGCTAATTTTTTAAAGACAAATATATTCCATTGATTGCCTACACATGAGGTCCAATATAGTAGCTGCAAGTCACATGTGACTATTTAACTAAATTTAAATTAATAAAAGTAATAGAATTAAACATTCAGTTCCTCAGTTACACTAGCCACATTTCAACTGCTCAACAGATACACGTAGCTACTGGCTATCATAGTAGACATCCCATGTACAGAACATTTCTATTACTGCAGAGAGTTCCATTGAACAGCACTGGTCTAGAGTTTTAAATTATTCATACAAACTTTCCCTTTTGTTAGCAAAGTCAACTGGTAGTTAATTATATTCTTGTAAAAGCCTGTGATTATCTAGGACAGATCACCTAGAAGGCAGACTTCTTAGCTATTTACCTCAGTTTGTACAGAGCCTAAAACAGAAAACAAATTTAAATGAACATCTGAAGGTTCTTTCTTGTTTTAGGATGATTAATAAAATCCTAGTGCTCTGAAGGTCCTTCCCCACTTCATGGTACATTGCACCAACTTTGTCACCTAAAATACTACGCTAAACAAACTGTTCTACTGGCTACCTACCAATACTACACCAAACAAACTGGTCTACTGGTTATCTACCAAATATCACGTTACCTTTATGACCTCGATGATCTTACTACATCCATTCCCAATGACTACACCAGACACTGGGCTAGGCACTTGGATACCCATGCCTAAAAGAGAACTCAATTCCATCACCCCACACCTAGCCTCCCTGTGTGCCCTAACACATGGCACAACCTAGCTGTTCAAGCCAGAAATCTAAGAGGCATCCTAATTTTACCTTTCCATTTAACCCTGGCTCCCCTTTCCAATTCACCAGCACAGATCCTACTGGCTCTACTTAGGAAATGCATCTCCATTTGTACTATTCCCATCCCTATCCAAGCTATCATAATTTATGGCCCATCTCAGTCAACTGCAATGGCTGCCTAGCTGGTCTTCTAAATTCTACACCTGCACTATAATCTATCCAATAAAAATCCAAAGTGATCTTTTTAATATATAAATTGGATCTCCAGATTAAAATCCTTCAATGACTTCTTACCACTCTTAGAATCAAAGTCCTACATGAGATAGCCTCTGCCAACTTCTCTCTACCTCTCACTTACATCCCTACTGCCACCATCTTCCAGACACACTGGCCTAAAAAAAGCTCTTAGAACATGCCAAATTCTCATGTGCAGGGCCTATATACATAGAGACAAGGTTTATAAAAGGAAATAATTTTCTAAGTACCAAACGAAGTCCACAGAATCTCACTTTAAGAAAATGTCATGACATATGCACACAGGAGTTTCAAAGTCAGCAAGAGGCTATTACATAGCAAAGAGGAAAAAATTTCCAATACCATTTAAAGGAGTTTTTCAGTTATGCCCTAGGCCACAGGCATCAAGCTTATGCTACATTATTCCCTAAAGTCACAGATCCAGCCCCCTGTAAAACCAAAAAAGCCAAAAAAAGGCCAATATCATTGGGAAATGAAATAAAAATCACTATTCCACATGTGTTTAAAACACACTGTGGTACCTCTAACACATTAAGGCTACGGGGGGATCTATAGAAGCAAAATACAAGATCTCTAACCTCCAACAAAACTAGATCCTGCACTTGAGACAGTAAAACATTGGATCAGAGTAAAAACAAACCAAAAAACCCCTCTCCAAAAGTTTATAAAATTAGTAAGGGCATGATTTGATCATCAGAATAAAATGTATCAACAAATCTTAAAAGGTTAGAAATTAGAGGCCAGGAGCAGTGGCTCATGCCTGTAATCCTAGCACTTCTGGAAGGCCAAGACGGCAAGATGGATTGAGGTCAGGAGTTTGAGACCAGCCAGAGCCAAAGCAAGACCCCATGTCTACTAAAAATAGACAAAATTAGCCAGGCGTGGTGATGCCCACCTGTAGTCCCAGCTACTCAGGAGGCTGAGGCAGGAGGATCGCTTCAGCCCAGGAGTTTGAGGTTGCTGTGAGCTAGGCTGATGCCACCACACTCTAGCCTAGGCAACAGAGTGAGACTTTGTCTCCAAAAAAAAAAAAGAAAAGTTATCCTGTATGGCAGTTTTTAAAAATCAACTTTTCAGTTTCTTTCTTCACCAGTTACAATAGTCCTCTTCAATTTCCTCTTTCCACACAAGTCCTATTATCTATGTGGAATAGGTTGTCTGCTTTCCTTTGTACATCTTGCTTTCCTAACTCTTGTTAGACGATGTCTCATGTGCAGATGTCCACATTCAGGACAGATATCCTCATGCTGCTTGAAAGAGATGCCTAATAAAATATTCAAGCTCCTCCTACAATCTCCCCCAATCTCCCCCAAGAAAATCCTCTCTAATCCCCATCTGATCACTGTCCAGTTAGGGCAACAGCAGCCCTTAGGAGAAGCCCAAACTCACATGGTACTTTCATGCTGCCTCCGAGGAGTGACAAAGAGCATGCGGGTGGGGCGAGCACTACTGGCATCTGGGTGGGCACTCCAAGGCTTGGCATAGCTATGATCCAGAAACACCAGGTCCAGCTCCCGTTCGTGCACTGACAGCTGGAATAGCAGCGAGGTGCCCATGCGCCGAGCTGAAGTCTGGAAGTCCCTCTCCCCACCCCGGTGGGCCATGTCAGTGGAGGGGCAGCAAGTCAGAGGATGGGCATATGCATGCTAGTCACCTGCAGTGAAAAAAAATTTCAATGTAAGTCAATTCCAGTATTTTAAATTTCTTCCCATCTAGACCACCCAATCTGCTTACTTTTATGACCTACTATCATTCACATCAGGTATTCATTATACAGCAGATTTTTGCCAATGGTGGGCAGGGTCCTGAGATCCCACATTACCATCAAAAAAGGCTATGGCGCCATGAGCTGCTCCATGTTCAATCTCTAAAAAATTCCCTAACTGGGAATCTGACTAAATGGTTTATGAACACCTCACATGGACAGACACTAAACTTGCTCGGCCAGCACAATTTCCTAGGTGGGTGGGAAGGGTTTTGGCAAACAATAGGAATTGTCAATATGAATTCTTCAAAAGTGAAGGGCGTCCTGCTCCACACCATTCTCTGAAGACAACGGGAGCAGAGCCCCATCGGTAGCTGGAGTGTGAGCACTTCTCAAGGAGCAAGGCAGCATGGCATCAGGGAAGCTAACCATGGTAAGGGCTCCATTTCTTTCAAGTTTCCCGTTAAACAAAGTTTTGCAACTACTTCAAAATATTCTGTCGTTTTTAAGACATTAAAAAGGAAAGCTTCCCCCCAGCAAAGCCCGTGACAAAATGATACCCCAGGAAGCCCTTTCTCCCTCACCCTAAGTGGAGGAGTCCCCGGCAAACTGCCCACTCCAGCGGTCTTCGGGGGTTCCCGCCACTGTAACCTCAAAACGGCCCATCTAGGAGGCAGGGCTTATGATTCGCATTTTACTGAAAAAGGCGCTGGCTCAGGGGATTGAAGTGACTCGGCCAAGGTCACCGAGAGTTCGCGACTAGGTGGAGCGGCCTGGCACCCGCCTCCCGCTCCCCCGGGCCGGGCTCGGCACCCGCGTCACGGCGGCCCAGGCGCGGCCCCCGGCCCAACGCTCCCGGCTGGCTCTGGCCGCCGGCTCCAGTCCCCGGTCCTCGCATGCCCCGGGAGACCTGAGGCCTTCGCCGAGGCCCCCGCCCGCTCCAACCGCGGCCTAGACCCCGACGGCCCGCCACCCCCACCCGAGGCCGACCCTTCCCTCACCGCAGTAGTCGGGCCGCGCGCTCGGCCCGGGCCAGACTCCTGCGCGCGTGCGCGCTACCGCCTCCACGCCCCGGTGCTTTGGGCATCGAGTAAAACGCGGAAGCGGATCACTGGCGGGGAAGGGAAGGGAAGGGCGGTGAGCGGCAAAGCCCGGAAAGGGCGAAGCTCCAACAATTTAATGGGGAAGAGGAGTGCACGTCAGTCTCCGAGGCTGAAAATCAGCGCGGAGGTCGGGAGTTTTCGTGTTCTTCATTTTCAGCAGGGAAAACGAGGATAAAGGACGAAGCCGGTTCTTCCAGCCCCAGTGTTTGCAGCCCCCACCCTGTTGGTTTTTTGTCCCGTCTGGAAGGTCGCTCGCCACACCTTCCACCTCCGCCAGAGCAGCTCCCATGAATTTATTCATTAAGAATGTACTTTCCACATCACTGAAAATTTTTTTTATTTTTTAAAAAGAGTTTATACGTTAGAAATTTACTTTTCTTTCTTTCTTTTTTTAGAGATAAGTTCTCGCTCTGTAGTCCAGGCTGGAGTGCAGTGGTGAGTTCATAGCTCACTGCAGTCTCAATCTCCTGGGCTCCGGCAATCCTCCCGCCTCAGCCTCCTGCATAGCCAGGACTACTGGCGCGCGCCACCACGCCAGGCTAATTCTTTGTAGTGATGAAGTCTTGATACGTTGCCTAGGCTGGTCTTGAACTCCCGGCCTCAAGCGATCCCGCCTACCTTGGCCTCCCAAAGTGGTGGGATTATAGGCGTGAGCAACCATGCCCAGCCAAAAATTCACTCTTAAAGAGAAGAAACAGCCACAATAAAAGTAAAAATAAACTTAAAAATAAAGTTGCGACTATAATCCCAGCTACTTGGGAGGCTGAGGCAAGAGGATCACTTGAGCCCAGGAGTTTGAGGTTAAAATGAGATATAATTGTGCCACTGTACCCCAGCCTGGGCAAAGAATGAGACCCTGTTTCTAAAAAAAAAAAAAAAAAGTTGCTATGAACCTAAAACTGTTCTGAAAATTAAAGTCGAAAGGAAGGAAGGGAGGGAGGGAAAAAAAAAAGAAAAGAAACATTTATCCAGAGCTTTGCTGAGTGTCATTGGATCCTACAGAGAAGGAGTTTAAGGAATAAAGGAAAGGCACTCCAAGGTAGAGATCAGACTTGTGGAGTTGAACTCCTTGGCTGTACCACTCCAGCAAGTGTGACCTCAGTGTCCCCGCATCTCTAAATGTGCAAATACCTACCCCATTGGGTTGCTGGAAGATTGCAATGGGGTACTGCACAGTTACCTGGCAAGTACATAAATAGTTTTCAAGATGGTCATTAGCATGAGGGATCCCAGAGTGCTCTAGAAGAAGAAAGATTTCCTGCTGAAGGGATTGTGGTGGTGTCATGAAGAAGTCAGTTGAGGCTGGGGGCTCTGAAGGACCAGGCATTGCAGACAGATGGATTGGTAAGGTGGTACAGGCCCATGTAGAAGGTAGCAAATGGACCAAATACAACCCAACAGCATTTTCTTTCTCTCTCTTTTTTTTTTTTTTTTTGAGACAGGGCCTCACTCTGACGCCCAGGCTGGAGTACAGTGGCACAATCATAGCTTACTCTGTGAGCTCCTGGGCTCCCACCTCAGCCTCCCAAAGTTCTGAGATTACAGGTGTGTGCCACCATGCCTGGCCTCCAACACCATTTTCTTTGACTGGCAACTTACTTTCTTATAATTTTATTTAGTCATTACAAACATTTTACGTTGGGAGATTTCATATAAAAATCCAGATTTCCAAATCTCTGAAAAATTGGAGGCTGTGGCAGCACTGGACTCATTGTCCCATGTGGCAGACATAGTGTCTGCATGTGCCCTCACTCTGGCCAGCTTTACTCTATCTACCTCTTTGTCCCATATGGCATTTGATTCATCACCCAACCCCTACATACCAAACCCACACTCTCACATATTTCCCAAAACTTAAATGCAGCATCCCTGAGATGAAAGATACAATCAGAGATCAAGTCCTACTATTCTTGGGTGATTAACAGATTGGTTCATTTGGGTTGTCCTATCAGGTGGGAGTGAGACAACTGACTGATGCTCATGGAAATAGGGCGCAGAGACCAGCCCACAAAAAGACACTCAGTGCTCCAGTAAGACCTGTGCAACACCACATGAGGCCCTGAGTACCCAGAGGGAAGTGGGAGGAGGTGGGTGGTAGAGAGAAAGGAGGCAAATAGTGGTCATTTCACAGTTCTGGACTGTGTCCAGCACTACAGTGAACCTTCTTCTCTGCAATAGGGATGGTAAACCCTTAGTGCTTGTGCTGCATTATTTTCCCCTCTGTGCCCATGACAGACATGATTAATCGATCACAGTTCACTCTACTTCGGAACCCAGACACAACTTCAAAATCATTTTCTCCACATGTACTACAGGCTGTCACTATCAATCGATTACAATTGGCCATCTCTTCTCCATAATGCCTATCCTATAGCACATACTTCGCCTTCATTCATTCATTCACTCACAAATATTTCTTAAATTCCTACTATGTGATAAGCAATGTACTAGGTGCTGAGGATACAGCACTGATAAGACATACTTTTAATGTATACAAGTAATTGTTTAATTTATAATTGTGATAATAAGGGTTAGCATTTAGAGAATGTCAAACAAGTCTAAATGACATAAATGACTTACTTCATTTAATCCTCTCAAAGACTCTATGTGCTAGGTTCTATTATAGTCATATCCAGAGAGGTAAAGTGTTTTGCCCAAGGCCACACAGCCAGTAAGTAGCAAAGGCAGAACTACTGCCCAGGCAGGGGAGTGGAGAGAGACAAAGTTCGAGAAATAGGCAGAGGCCAGAGCCTGCTAGGCTTTAGATATCTCCCATTAAGAATTTTGGTACTGACCATAGATTGTTTTGTGTGGTCAACTTTCCTATGTGTTTTGTGTAGAGAGAGTAGATCCTTAAAGTCAGAGACATGAACCTTCTTTGTATACTCCAGAGAACATAGCCCGAGATATAGGTAATTGTTCAAGTGTTGACTGATGGATGATTGATTATTTGGTTGACTGACTGGCAGCAGGACACCAGGAGACATGAGACAAGAGAGAAAGGGACATGGTTCAAGATGAAAAATAAATCTCTACCACTTCACATCCACTAGGATAGCTAAAAAGCCAACAATGACAACAAAAAAGCAAATGCTAAAAAGTGTTAGCAAGTATGTGGAGAAATAAAAACCCTCAGACATTGTAGTGAGATTGTAAAATGGTGCAGCCACTTTGGAAAACAGTCTGGCAATTCCTTGGAAAGGTAAACATGGAGTTAGCATTTGACCCAGCAATTCTACTCTTAAGTTTATACCCAAGAGAACTGAAACACACACACATATATACATGTATACACCCACACAAACAAGTAAACAAATGTTCAGAGCATCATTATTCATAATAGCCAAAATATGGAAACACCTCAAATGTCCATTAACTGATGGATAAACAAAATGTAGTTTATCTATACAGTAGATTTATTCATTAATAAAAAGGAATGAAGGCCAGGTGCAGTGGCTCATATCTATTATCCTGGCACTCTGCAAGGCTGAGGCAGGAGGATCGTCTGAGGTCAGGAGTTCGAGACCAGCCTGAGCAAAAGCAAGACCCCATCTCTACCAAAAATAGAAAAATTAGGCAGGTCTGGTGACACATGCCTGTAGTCCCAGATACTCAGGAGGTGAAGGCAGGAGGATCACTCAAGCCCAGGAGTTTGAGGTTCCAGTGAGTGAGGATGATGCCATGGCACTCTAGCCTGGGTGACAGAACAAGACTCTGTCTCAAAAAATAAATAGGCCGTGTGTGGTGACTCATGCCCGTAATCTTAGCATTCTGGGAGGCCAAGGCAGGAGGATTGCTTGAGGTCAGGAGTTCGAGACCAGCCTCACTCTTGAGTGAGACCCTGTCTCTACAAAAAAAAAAAAAAAAATAGAAAAAAATAAGCCAGGTATGGTGGCACACGCCTGTAGTCCCAGCTACTCGGAAGCTGAGGCAGAAGGATCGCTTGGGCCCAGGAGTTTGAGGTTGCTGTGAGCCAGGCTGATGCCACAGCACTCTAACCCGGGCAACAGAGCGAGACTCTATCTCTAAATAAATAAATAAATAAATAAAACCCAGAAGGAATGAAGTACTGATACATGTTACAACATGGATAAACCTTGAACACATTATGCTAAGTTAAAGAAGCCAGTCACAAAAGGCCACATACTATATAGATTCCATTCTATGAAATAGCCAGAATAGGCAAATCTACAAAATAAAAAAGTAGATTTGTGGATTCCAAGGGCTATGGGAAGGGGAAAATGGGGAGTGACTACTAATAGATATGAGTTTTCTTTTTTTAGGGTGATGAAATTTTTCTGAAATTAGTTAGTGGTGATAGTCACACAACCTTGTGAATATACTAAAAACCTGAATCATATCATTTAAAAGTCTGAATTTATGGTTTGTGAATGATATGTCAGTAAAGCTGCTATTTTCAAAAAAGCTTTACTGGCCAGGTGTGGTGGGTCACACCTGTAATCCTAGCACTTTGGGAGGCTAAAGCAGGAGGATTACCTGAGGCTAAGATTTTGAGACCAGCTTGAGCAAGAATAAAAAGGCATCTCTACAAAAAAATAGAAAAATTAGGTGTGGTGGTCCTGTAGTCCCAGCTACTCAGGAGGCTGAGGCAGGAGGATCACTTAAGCCCAGGAGTTCAAGGTTGCAGTGACTTATGATGACACCACTGCACTCCAGCCTAGGTGACAAAGCAAGACCCCGTTTAATAAAAAAACAAAAAACAAAAAAAAACCCCCAAAGCTTTAGTGCTTTGAGCCACTGAGATTTTGGAGTCGTTTGTTACTCAGCATAACGTAGCCCATCCTGACTGATACCTAGCCAGACTATCAATCAACTGTAAGGGCAGAATACAGACATGCAAATGCTCAAAAAATTCAGAAAGTTACTGAAAACTGTGTTCCACCAAGATGAGAGAGTAAATTGTAAATTGAGAGGTAGGAAGACATAGGATATGAGAAGCAGGGGCCAATACAGG